GAGTGTGTGTTTGGATGTAATGATCAGTCCTGGAGTTTGATCTGCTTATCCTCCAGATACTCATTCATACACAATAACACAAAGACTGATCTCTCTGTGAAGTCCATCAGCAGCAGAATAGGAGTGTTTGTGGATCACAGTGCTGGAACTCTGTCCTTCTACAGCGTCTCTGACACAATGAGCCTCATCCACACAGTCCAGACCACATTCACTCAGACGCTCTATCCTGGGTTTGGGTTTGGTAATTTTGGATCATCAGTGAAACTGTGTTGATGAATCAGAATAGACTGACGAGAGATTCTACCCATAATGCTTTGAGCTGCATGATAAATCTGTAACAGTGAGATGTTATGAATCTCTTCTTATCTTTTCATTACATTAATACTGCAGCTGAACCTCTGTTAGTAAAATAACATGCGAGAATAAATGTGTAATAAATCCTCATATAGACAGTAAGATCAGTTCTGCTGAGTGACGATGCGTATCTGTGCTTTTCTCAGCCTCTGTTTGTGTTGTCTGGCCAGTAGTCCCCACAAGGGGAAAAAATATTAAAAATACTAAATGATGTTTATCTGAAAATTTTAAACTGTTTTCTGTGAGGGGTAGATTTCGGTTAGTGCAATGGTTCCCAATTCTGGTCCTAGAGAACCCCAAACACTGCCCAATCAAACACAGCTGATCTCACTCATCTGCTCATCGTGTGTGTGTCGGATCACAGAGACATCAGAAACCTGTTGTGTTGGGGGTTCTTCAGGACCAGGAATGGGAACCACTGGGTTAATGGAGAGAAAATATAGTTTGGTCAGAATAGAAACAATAGAAGCCTACGGCAAATCCCCACACAGATAACTCTACATTTATATATGTGTCTGAAAAGATGAGAAAAGGGGGAGACTTGATAGTGTTTGATGTTCAGTTATTTTCAGATTTAGAACCGTTTCAATTAATTAGTATATTTATGTTAAGTCTACTTTAGTAGCACAGTTGGGAAAATGTACTTAACTATTACTTAATTACTATTAATTTAAACTTAGGATAACTATATAAAAGTGTACTAACACTGAACTAATTTTTAAATCATTCAAAGCGCACTTTTAAGAAATACACTAATAAAAGTCCTCTGTATATTTTTGCGGTTGTGTACTTTATTTCAATGCACTAAATATCTATTTAAATATCAGTGGTATTTTTTTTTTACTTTTGCAATTTCACTGAAGTACTACTGAAGAAGAAATATATCTTTAATTAGTGTATTTATAGTGTACAGTATAACAATTTTCACAAAAAATAAGAATTTACTACAAATGTACTTGCTAGTATTGAGGTATTTTTTAGTGTGGTCAAGTACACTTTACATTTACCTGGGAACATCTGTACCTTCAACCTGCTGAATGAGCCGCAGGGTCCCGTCAGGGTTTTCCATACTTGTGTCATACTCTCTCGTCCAGATCTTGAGCCGGTCGTTACTGTGGCCGCTGTTGTAGAGGAAGATCTGCAGGCACTGGAATCCCCGTCTGGGGCAGAGAACCCTGCTCTCCAGCAGAGCCCTGTTCCCCTCCGGCCCGCTCGCAGTGCTGAAGTGCATGAAGTAACCCTTTCCTGAAAACAGGACAGATATCAGAGTTAAACAGAGAGCATATGTGACCCTGGAGCACAAAACCAGTCATAAGTAGCAGAGGGATATTTGTAGCAATAGCCAACAATACATTGTATGGTTCAAAATTATACATTTTTCTTTTATGCCAAAAATCATTAGGATATTAAGTAAAGATCGTGCTCCATGAAGATATTAATATTATTATGAAGATATTAATGATATAAAAATGATTTATATTAACTCTTCCGGCCGCAGCGCCATACGCAGCCGGGCCTCCAGCTCTCTTAACAGACGCTAGCTCGAGGCTGCCTCTGCTAACGGCGCAGGCCGTGCTGCAAATTAATTAATTTTCAGGTGAAGTCGCTAAAGGCAGGTTTTCATGGCTAAAGTTTGTTAAAACGACGTTATGACATAAACGGATGTTGATATGTACGTTTGACTCGCGTACGATAATTTTCTTCCAAATACGATAATTTTGAGCTTCTGGTACGATACTTGGACATTTCCAATCTGGCAACACTGGTACAATGTGTCACATGACTAAACATGCGTCATCGTTTTCAAAAGCCTCCGTTTCCACAGTCCATACTACAACGTGAAAACAGCATTTTCACATTTATCCGCTCTGGAAAGCGTTTTAAAAGCTCTGTTTTCCTGGACTCCTTGTTTTAGCGTGGATGGAAGGCCAAAACGAGAGGAAAAGATGTGTTTTCAACTGAAACTTATTAATGTGGACAAGACTTGAGGAGTTGCCAAATCTAGCAACAAATTGCTAAGTCAGCAACACTGCAGGCTACCCAGGCATTTTAGCTGGTCCCGCTAAATGTCACTAACCCTTCAACTTTCTCGCGGCCTACAGCTACAGCAGCCGAAGCAAGCGAGAAGCTGCTTCCGCTTGCAACACAGGCCCTCACATCTCAGTATTTC